ATTTAGACACCTCGCTTTTCTTTTCCTCTTTTCAGCACTATAAAGTCGTTCTGTGGCTGAGCGAGGCTGAGAAACAAAACTGTTCTTGATGGCGTACTCATGTCCGGAGTTACAAATGTCTTCGGATCCTTATTGCCTCTGATGAGGAAATCAAATTAAAGACTGAGAATATCATAGACGAGGCGCCGTGGCCGAACGCTTGTGATGCTCGTCGCGGCGCGCATAGAGCCAAGTCCCACCCCTAACTCTCTCCGGCAGTCAACAACAACCCCCCATGGAACGCCACAAGATAACCTCGAGATTGCAAGGAGACTCACTCAACGATTATTCTACACCGTTCAAGAAGAAGACGAATAACGAATTGATTGCTAGAAGTACTGGAAGTCGCACAGTAAAAGAAAAGCTCTGATGACAAATCGAATGCAGTGCTGAAAAATTATCAAAGACATGGTTAAAAAGAGGAGAGCGTTTAATTCTTTAAACACCTTTTTGAAATGATATTTGATCTCGTGGTCATTCATGAAATCGTGTCAATACATAGATGAAATGAAATACCACTCCAAAAGATTAAATGTTTTGGTGAAAAGGTGATTTTGAAAGCAAAGCGCGAGACAGAAATTTCGGGATTCGCTCATATGTCGACGATTAGAGATGGAAGGCGCTTCGAAAATGCCCAGTTTTTCAGAAATTTACCATTTCGGAGATGTGATGCATCCGAATGACAATATTTGAACACGTGTCATCATCGACACAGTTTTGTAAAAGTCCGAAACCATGACAACATCTATGTTGAGAACTTCTTGCAGATGACCTACATTCTTCGTACGCTCACTGTAGGTAACCTCAGTAAGCACCTCTGAAGTGAACTGGAACACTAAGAACTCATTTACGAGTCATGACCGTGAGTGTGGCACAGTGATTAAAGGTGTTGCTCTGCTCTGCGTTACAAATGTGGTCGATAACTGAGCTCATTGCTTCACTAAGCTTTCCAACTCTCTGAGCTCTTTTGGGTATTACCGAACTGTCTGTGAGGATGGCAATACTGACTTGATACATTGGTAGGCCACCGCGTAAAAAGTTGATATGTCATTCAGTCACTTCAGAGATAGCCAGAAATCGAAGAACAGTGGCACTGTTTATTTATTTTACTTACCCAAGTCAATTTCATAGAATTTAGAAGAGGTTCTAGAAAATTTTACACCAAACTTGTGAAACTCACATTGATTCCTGTCATAGACAGTTCGTTTTGTGGTTCTTTCTGATTAGGAGGGAACGATTGAAAAGTCCATCTCATTTGCTGGAGAGACAATTATCAAAGGAAAATTAGTAGAATTCGAAAATGAGACTTGAGGCTACGGCCTCCAGAACGGCGGTACTTCAAAGCAGCCCTTTATAATGCTCTAACATTCAAAATAAAATCATTTTTCATGGAGCTATGTGTTTTTTTCTCTTATCTCGCTTATATCTCGCTGGACAAAACTCATTCCTTGGAGTACTAGCAGTCAAAATCTAGCTCAAGCTTGGATGGAACTCAAAAATTTGTTTAATTCCTATAAAGCTCTCTCAATTTTGCGATCTCTTCTGGTCTTTTTATTTGTGCTGTAAGCTTCGCCGGGCGAGCCCTTTCCATAGACTATTAGTAATAATCTGATAGCGTAATGTTCTCTGTTTCTAGTGATGTGCTCATTTTCTGGAAACACGAAGAACAGCAGGAAATTAAGATCGAGTTTTGGCAACGTTATTTACCGACTATTTGGCAAAGCGAAGGGCCGCGGCAGGAGTCGGGGTGAGGCGGAGCGATCGTTATATCGCTTATTCGATTGGAATTTTTCCTTCACTTTGAAAGAAACTCCAGATAAAACGAGTGAATGGGATACTACGAAAAATTCTCTACACACTGATATGCCTTTTCGGCTTCCTGCTAATTATAGGCTTAATGAAAATGAAGGCGGAATGCGAGCGTAAAACATAATCTTTGATTCAGATGCCACAGCGTTATAAAGAGGTGTTTTGAGAAACCGGCGAAGTGGAGCTGTACCCACACGTCTCAGCTCTTGAATGGTTACTGATCACTCCTATGGAAAGTTCCTTTCTAATGAATGAGATTGGTTTTTTATTGTATCTCCCTTAATCAGATAAAGCCCAACTTACGTTCACTTTCGCTTTTAGTTAATTCGCATGTCGTTGAAAGAACCTCGTAATCTAGAAGTAGCCTTTCAATTCACCGCTTCTCAAGCACGTTATAATGCTCCTTCCAGGAATGTTGAATGGTATACAAAGCTTCTAATTTTGGAAAAAGTTGGACCGCCTTCTTCACCATTTCCGGTGAAGGAGCGGTATCGCAGTGCTTGCCACACAATCGCGAAAAAGTTGAGACGCGGGGTTCAACTTCCTCCTCAAATTCCAGTGTTTTGCATGACGCTCAACATCTGATATTATAGTTCATAACAGCATAACACTGCTATAGAGGTTGCGAAATAAAAAATGTTGCATATCTATATAATCCAATAGCTGCCGGCTTATGTGAGTTTGAATGCCGATATGTGCTTACCAGACAAGCCCGTTCACTTCTGTTACCACGACAGCTCCGATACCTTGTATCGCTGGTAGACTAACAGCAGAACAGCAAGCTCGATATGTTATACTTAGCTCGCGCTCTGGAAAGGGTCCGACACGGGCTCACTTCCTGCCAAGGATCAATGTTTATTATATCGTTTAACATTATTAGATATACAGAAACCCTGTAGTTTGCTTGTGAGTGATTAGGGTTCATCTCACGCATCATCCATTATGGAAATCGTTCAACTCCGTTCTATTTACAGATCACATCACGACAATTGATTGAGGCCTACATACACCGTGTAAATCAGGTCTGTTAGACAGCTTTCTACCATTTTTGGTATAAATATCTCCGTAAGTAACGAATTCGCCACGAAATCAATTTTCCTTCTGTGTCGGCTTCAAATCTGTGATTCAATTTTTGAACCGCAATCAATACCCTTTCAAAATTTATTCTTTTGAAACAAAAGGCACAGGTAACACTAAAGTGATTGACTCCTAGAAACTGATACGATGTAGGAATTTGAGTAGGAATCTTTCTTGTTCGACTTCCGTTTAGTCGTGATAAGCTTTTTCCTTTCCTTTTTCCTAACTTTTCTAATATTTTTCTAGCAGATGTTTCCGACTACTAACATCTCATTAAGTCATTTCTAGTGATACTATTTACTTAGACTATTTAGGTTGAACATCCTGTTAAAATTTAGGTGCTAAACAGTTGCCGATTCAGGTAAACGAACTCATCAATGCCATAGTGGTGAAGCTGTTCGATGACGCCATGAATAAAGCTGACGAAATCGACCGACAGATTGGTGTTTCTGATGCCGACCAGATAGCTGAGGTGTGAAATAACGCTGAGTAAACCAGCTGGATTCCAGTCAAAATCCAGCACGATTTGTCACTTTCTTTTGAATGGTTAACCCTTTGAAGGTTGAATTGATGACTCTTTTGCTGAAATCATACATACAAAGCACTAATGGTGAGACGTTGTAATCAAATCTAGTGGGCCAATTATGCGTCGTAGTTCAGCGTACGTTAGCACTGCATGCAGCGGTTAAGCGATAAATTATAGATGAAAAGTCAGCAATCATGTCCAAATGGGAAGACATTTTGAAAAACTGAGGCCTACTTTGAACAGAAATTATAATTTCTTAAAACTCGGTAATAGTCATTAGAAGAAAGATATCTGATCAAAACAGGCAGTATCTACTGTTACCAAGGATAAACTGTTTTGAAAAAGCTTGAAGATTGATGGTTGATTCAACTCATGAGATCTGGATTTTTTCGGTTCTCTACGAGCATTTGCGTGATAGTAGCAGGAGGTGCGCATCTTGCCACGAATATGGATTCGTTTCTTCCATTCTAGGTTGATTGAATCCTCCGCCATTTTCGAGTCGCCAAAATGGTACCAAAAAAGTGTAGGAAGGTGAAAACGTACACGTGTTAATTTAGCTGAACAGCGCAAGTCATCGCATAGCTTAAATGGGTATCTGATCACGTATACGATACTCATAATGTAGTGACAAGCGTTCGTAAGCCTTAAACATCAGCGAACACTCTAACTTTTATGATTCAATAGCTTTTTCCATGAAATTCCAAACTTTTTTTATGTGATTACTATTCTGTTCCTTGAGTTTTGTCTCTTCATTGCGCTTCAACGATCCGTGGAGGCGAAACCGCAGTTTAAGAAGAATTTGTGGTACGAAGGTGGGCGCATCGAACAGGAGGCCTTCTGATTAGCACAACCATCTCCTAAATGGTTGCACACTTGATGAACACGGAAAACAATATGAAGATGGAATTACAATGCGAGAGAGAGCGGCATGGTCGCTTCAAGCCTGTAAAAATAGCCACCGACTAAATAACTCATGTGAAACTTCGTGCTCACCATTACAATCCAAATGTTCTTCCAGTGCTCTGATATGCAACGTAGACTAACACTCTAACCACGTAAAGAATGTGCGCACCACTCACAGAGCTGTTGAACAAAGCTTTTCAGATTAAACCGGAACTCAGGACGTCTAACCAGCTTGTGCACCTCAGATCCTCAGAATGAACCCTACATTCGACCTCTTTGCTAGCGACATAATGGATGCATATCTGGCCAATACATTGGCTTCAGTGGCTTGTCTGGTGAACCTTATTAGCAGTCCACTGGTTTCACAGAAAATCTGGTTTTTCTACAGAATTTTGATCTGATCAAATCAAAGATTCGTAATTAACGCATGACACGTCTGACCAGTATGCAACACAAGGCTGTTATAATCATTGCAGAAGCAAAAAAGTCGTTGGATGGTGAGTTGCATTCAATTAAACAGATGGATCATAAAACTAACAGGCAAAAAATAATGCTGAAATTAATTTTTTATTTTATTTGACCGCCTATTTGCGGTGGTATGATTTTACAAGAAACCCAATAATGTGGAGTGGTGTGCAAGAACATTTGCTTCAGCTGGGATTCGAACCCAGATCTCACCCTATCCGGAGCGCGTGCTGAACCGTTGCACTACTGAATGCTGAATGCTGGATTTTTTATGTCCCAGCAATAATAGAAATTTACGGTCTAACTGAGCAAAATAGCTAGGTAATGTTCGAGTGTGATATGCAGCGACTTGATGTGGCAATATGATGTGCTACCAGAGCTATCCAATTTACCAAATTTCGTCACGCCATGACATGTGTAGGTGATTTTGAAGTGTTCAGCTAACAATGCGCTGTCCGTTGTTGGGTGTTCCGTTTACGGTGAAAGATGCACTGGAAGTGGATGGCCAAGTGATCACAAGCGGCGTATTCAGCCAAAGAGGTGTCCAATGTTCTTCTACTGCTGAAGTGATCAAGAGGTTTGCGTTTGGTATAATTGATTCTGCGCCACATTTTTCAGTATCAGACTTAGTAGATCTTCAATTATTTGTGCCCATCCGCTCACTATATTACAGTAGAAGTGCTGAACCTTGTGGGTACAACAGGCATACGAAGCTACCTTGGCCTTTCTCGCGAGCTGAGAGAAGTTCTGTTGTCCGAGCGCTCAATGATGCTTGGAAAGAAGGTTGTTGGTGCAATCCTATCACAACGTTTCACCACGGGTTTTGGTTTTATTTCTTGGTGTCGATAACTATTGAAGATCTTCTGTAGATGTAATTGTTATAGTTGAAAACTCTCGCTCACATGTTAGTATGTCCACTATTTCCTGATCGAAACGTAGATTCATGAGGTAACAACGCAAACCAAAGTTTTTTCGCATTTATTTCGACGATATGTGGAAGTCGGACTCGAAAACGTTTTCTACAGTGTATGACCATTTAGAAAAATTCATTAAAAGTGGGTACAATCAGTTTTACAAAACCTCGTTCGTCCCATTGTTACCCCATTGATCTACGTATCGTATCAGAAAAGTGGTGATTTGTAGGACAGCGAGCGGCTTTTTTCTTGCACAGTTACGTCTGTAAAAGAACCTTCGTTAGTATTCAATATGCGAAAAAATCTCGTGTGAAGCGTCGCGGAAGCAAAGAACCACACTTCTCCCGTGGCAAGCAGCATTACCAACCACTCGGCATTACGGACTGCTCGCCGCGGCGCGACCGGACGGAGCTAGCGCTGTGTTACTGTCGCGACCAAAGGGTTAGAAAGAAAATATTCTGCAGTCATTCAACGTCGGCGAGCTTCCTCCTAATTGGCATTAAAGAACAGAAGTAACCGGAAAAGTAACTGATCCATACTAAGGATGAGAAAAGTATGATAGGCAGAAGTAGGAATTTAGGGAGGCGGAGAGTGATCACATGGGTACCTCTACGTCGTATGATCACTGGTCCTGAAATGAAGCCCTAAAATGCTTTGTATCCACTTCTTTCTCGCTCGATCTTCGTTTATGATAGTGATCTGTTCTTAGCATGCTGCCTACGACTCGTATTTGATAATCCGTAATTTTATCCCAGCTGTGGATGGAGATGAGTGAAGAGAGTCACAAGCACTGGCCGGCTGTCGTTAGCTGATCATTCTGGGAGCGTTCGTTGTCCTATTGGGATTTTGCTCCATTATAATTCTGTCCCATTCACCTTAGAGTGCTGTCAGTATGTGATCAATACAACTATTTCGCTATCGCAATGTGTTCCCCTGAATCTCCAAAATAGAATAAGGGTTTAGGATCTGCCTTGGTGCTATAGTTTTTAGCACAAACGTGAGATTATCCGTTTTAGCCGGAAAGATGCCTCAAATCAATGCTGAACATTCCTACAATATATATGACAGACAAGTGGCCAACTAATCGTCCCATAAATTTTACTAGTTGAAGAATTGCCACAAATCGCTTCAGTTGACTTCGTAGCTCATCTTCCATTGGTGCATTGATGTAAACGATTAACTCAAGCATGTATGGCCTGACTATCACGACAGGTATTTAAAAGTTATGAATATGTGCTCCTGGTTTTTCCTAATGAACAGTCTGTTGACGACAAATGTCAACGACAGTCGATTCGAGCAACTTGACTTGTAACTGGGCAATCGCTTTCAACTGTACAATCACTACGTAACGATTTTTATGGTTGACGACTCAAGAGACTCGCCATCTACTCTGATTTCATATAGTTTATAGGGAAAAACACTTTTCCTTCTCTTCAGAATAGGTTGCGAAATGTGGCGTGCGATCTTAATAGCTTTGATCATGCTGGTCTTTATTGGGATCTAGTTTTCTGGAGTCGTTCTCGAAACGTCATGATAACATGAGAAAACTTCGTTTTCATCACAATTCGCTGAAGCGTGTGTTCAGTTAACGATTTGTAATAACAAGGTTTTGATACATCCTCATGTGGATAGATGTAAACGTGCAAACGAGCACTCGGCGAGTTCTTCACAATAGATCCAAGTTGTTGATTTCCACCGTTTTCCATGAGATCTTCCATTTTTCGTAAGAAAGTCTTGAATTTCTAGAGGTCTCACATGATACTGAATAAGACATTCTGAAACAGTTGTTGAAATGAGTAGAAATTGAGCTAAGATGGAGTCAAATATCTGGAAATAAGCAGATTAAGTACTGTTTTTTTCACGTTTTTTGTCAAAATCAATAATCTTTCGAGACCTTCAAGTATTTTGTTCTTCAAAGCTTGTTTAGGCTTCTAATGAGCGTGTTCGATCATTGCTTTGTGTCTGGTTTCAATACTTTATCAAAATTCCAAACGCTGTATAACACTCCTCTTCCAGAATGGAGGCGGCAGGTGCGATTCTGATCGCGATCACAAATGTTCCCGAAGCGTGTTGTTGGATAGAGACATCAAACGGCATCTACGGTAAGACGAAGAATCCATACGATCTGAGACGATCGGCAGGTGGAAGCAGTGGCGGTGAAGGAGCTCTGATTAGTGCAGCTGGGAGCGTGGTACGCTACTCTGGCTTGGTTTTGTCATTCATTCTACTTGAATATTTCATTGACCCTTATTCCCAGAGTGCGAAAAATTGTACAGGCCTCGCAAGATTTCCATTCGAACGATAGTTTGTTGAAATGAACAGAATTTTTTCGAAAGTGAAAGTTCTGAAGCCATACATGCTCTTTTCGAGATACTCCTGTTTGTCAACAAGTGAATATTATGGTATTTCTTTGTTTGGAGAGGCCTACTGAACTCCGATCACGGATAGCCAAGCTAGTTTTGCAATAAGAAGCCCTCCTCAACATGCGATAAGGCCATTATTTCATTTTGAGAACATCACTAGATCAACGTGGGATGAATAACAAAATGAATGGAAGCTTTGAATACTAAACGTTAGTTGAAATGACCAGGGCTAAAATATCACACTTGTAACGACTCATATCTTCATCTATTAAGCGAGTTGCGACACTTTTAGCCATTCGAATCGGTCCTTCGCATCCCTCCACTCACAAAGTTGTAACGTTTTGTTTTGGTTTCTATTTGAAGACTCCATCACAAATTCGACTGTTCAATGCGATTTGAGTTGATTCTCTCTTCAATCTCTGATTCACCCTGCTAAGGTCACCCACGTTGATCGACAGGTAGTGAGATGACAACAAGCAGGTCTGCTTCCAACATTTCAGTTCAGCCGGAATCAGAGTTGATGGGCCGGATCACAGTCAAACAACTCTTATGACACAACTCTCATTTGCCACTGGATGTCGACTTGAGAAAGTTTTGCTTGACAGAAAAGAACTGTACTAATGTGCATCTTGTGGACTTTCATAACTTTCTACCAAAATCCTTGTTTTTTGTGTCACTGCATTTCTGATAAATTGAGATCGTCCTTCACTAGAGCACACATCGGAAGATCGATTCTTCAGCAGCCTTAGGGTGGGTAAATCGACCTGTGCTTCAAGCTTTGAGCTTTTGACCGTGATTCAAAACTCTTAGGACTTTTGTGCGTTATGTTATTCATTTCTACTGGACCAAACGTCTAGCAGTTCGTTGGAATATCCTTATCATGCATTTCACAGCGAATCACAGGGGTGCTGTATCCGATCTCTAGGCAGCCCTTAGCTTCTGTCATTCCATAATCTCGTGTTGGTCCATTGAAAACGCAATAACTTAGTGACTACTTTTGTGGTCTAACACAGTAAAAATCAAGGAACCTAAAACTCGCTGCGCAACTTGATACTCTATATTCAGTGACTAAACAATGGAAATTTAAAAAAATATTGTAAAAAGAGCTCACCAACTGTCGTTTGTAGATTGGAATCGGAAGCGATATCGCTGGAAGCATTCCGCATTCCGTCATTTATGAATGGTATCTTTGGCATGAAAACCACTCCAGGTTTGCTTGTCAAATTTCTCCATTAAGAACGAGAATGAGTTAAGTGTTAGATATTCTAGTGCCTAGAACATATTGCCAGCGCTGATAATATAGTTTTAGACTATCTACTGCACTTAGTCATACATTTGATTCAATAGAGCACAAAGAAAGAGTTGTACAACCATAACACAGATTTTTAAGAATGTTTGAAGCTTAGGCTTAAACCTAGCCTAAACTTCTTGAAAATTTATGTTGAATGTTTATTGCGAGCTTTTAAAAACAGTCGATGCCATGTATCAAACACGAATGTTTATAAGCTGAAGAACTCCCAAGCGATTTTCTTTCCTATGCATTGTTATAGTAATGAGCACCGCAAGAAATGAAATGCAGTGTGAATACTAGAAAAGTTAATAGCAGTTAATTACGACAAATGAAAGATTTGGTTTTCGAAACATTGAAAAGCACTGGAGGCTGTGCTAGTCCGCTTTAGGAGTGATTTCACTGGAGGGCCATCTACCATCGGTAAAGGGATATCAGCAAAAAATGCTACGAATAGGACCAATGTGCCGTTATGTTGAGGATGTTCCGCTATTAATTGAGGTATTTCAACCAACACCATTAATTAATATGCCAACAGGGCACTTGTAGGAGGATATACGAAGAAGCTACAAAGAAATATGTCACATTAATCACCTATTTTGCGTCGGATATCAAGTAAAAGGAGGCGCCACTAGTTTAGCCTCCCATTAATCGGTTCTGTCTCGCGTCAGGCCTGCCTAGTAGACAGC